CACTGAGGGCTCCCGGACTGTGAGAGGGGCAGGCTGGGCTGAGGGAACCCCACCCCCCAGTGCACGAATTTTGTGCACCGGGCCTCTAGTTTATATAATAAAAGCCTAAGCGACCATTACTGCAGAATGACCAGAACGACTGGTCGCTATGATGTGCACTGACCACCAGGGGGCAGATGCTCAACACAGGAGAGCTTCCCCCTGGTGATCAGTGCACTCCCACAGGAAGCCGGCCTCACGGCTGGCAAGCACAGAAGTGGTGGTGGGAGCCTCTCCCGCCTCCGTGAGGAGCGAGTCGAGCAGTAAGGAGCAGCGAGCAGGCGAGCAGTAAGGAGTAAAGGGTCCTGGACTGTGAGAGGGATGTCCGACTGCTGGCTTAGACCCTATCTCCGGACTGCAAAAGGGTGCAGGCCAGGCTGAAGAACCCCCCAACACCCTCAGTGCAAGAATTTCATGCAACGGGCCACTAGTACTAAAATAAACTTACTAACTAATAAGGCTGACTAAGAAAATATGAGCTGCCTGTAGATGATGAGTTCGCTGTGTGCAGGCAAACCTTCTCACTAAGCTGGATAATCACTTTTCATAGATTCAGTAGGATTAACACTGGGTGAAATACTGGGCTAAACAACATCTAAGTTCCTGTGAGTGTGTGATTCGATTTGTATGGACAGATTGTGTAAAATCCATGATATTAAGCCTTCAAATCTAGAACTTAAATTTTCCTTTGTTTGAATCCTACCAATCTGAAAATAAAAAAGGGTATATCTTATAAATCAGATTTCGTACAGGCTAAATGTGTATTTCAACAAAAAGTATTTGATAAAATCTTCGTGTCAAAGTGAGAAGTCACTCAAAAAAAATCTAACATGTAGAGTTTTTTGGATAGATGAGAAATAAAATGGACTAAGTGAATAGTTCTTTATAATCAAGTGTTGTAAATGGGAAAATGTAAGAATAGAAAAATCTGAAAATTATATCAGCATAAAATTTCACATAGAAAGTGTAGCCAATTTCCAAGTAAAACACCATTCTCCTATCAATGATACCATTTATGTATCAAAAATTCACTGCAAATAGGTGATTCTGACAAAATCAAGGGGAAAAAAATGAGTTGTGAGCAACTCCGGGGATGATGGTATCAGCAATCAAAAGTCACAAGCATTTCTCTTTGGAATTGCTTGACCTTAATACCCATGTGGACGTTATTACCAAAGCCACTATTAAGAATGAAGACCACACACCCACCCTAAGAGTGCGTACTGAACAATTAAGACTGGTAACAGTCATTCATTTTGGAATTGGAAGAGAACATTTTACTTTAAAAGAATTAGCTTTGCATATCTTTATTTTCATTTCCTTGGAAGATGTAGGAAGTGTGAAAGGAAAAGTCCAGTGACTGTTTCAGTAGACTGGCAAACAGTCAAAATTTAGGAAACTTGTCTGTGCTTCTTGAATGCAGGTGACTTTTTACTCATCTTTTAGCCCCATTATTGAATACAACATTTTTAATTTCATTGGTCTCAGCCATGCTAGGAACAATGGAATGAGATTCTATGGAAACACAATTAGCAAAAAGTACTAAGCATCCACATTTTAAAATGTATATTGGTTAGCCATGTCATTTAATAAATGCTTGAACATGAGGTATATAAAATAAAACTTTAGAATGTGGTGAGAAAAATCATTGAGAGATGCTAAGTTGTGTGTTTAAGGAAATCTGTGAAATCCACTTATCAGAGAAGCACATAAACAGTATTGATAATTGCCGAAACCGGTTTGGCTCAGTGGATAGAGCGTCGGCCTGCGGACTGAGGGGTCCAGGGTTCGATTCCTGTCAAGGGCATGTACGTTGGTTGCGGGCACACCCTCAGTAGGAGATATGCAGGAGGCAGCTGGTCGATGTTTCTCTCTCATCGATGTTTCTAACTCTTTATCCCTCTCTCTTCCTCTCTGTAAAAAATCAATAAAATATTAAAAAAACAAACAGTATTGATAATTAACAAAATAACCATAGTAACCTCTCTTGGGAAGTGTTCATGTAGTCTCTAGTAATGAAGTCAGATTTAAATAGTTTTGAGTCTTTTAGGCCAGACCCCAGGTTTCAACAATTAAGTCCCCACCTCAATAATCCCATTTATCATTTTGTTTTTTATTATTATTACTAGAAGCTCGATGCATGAAATTCGTGCACTGGGAGGGGATGTCCCTCAGCCCAGCATGCACACTCTCCAATCTGGGACCCCTTGGGGATGTCCGACTGCTGATTTAGGCCTGATCCCCTAAATAGGCAGTCGGACATCCCTCTCACAATCCAGGACTGCTGGCTCCCAACAGCTTGCCTGCCTGCCTGCCAGATTGCCCCTAACCACTTCTGCCTGCCAGCCTGATCACCCCTAATCACTCCCCTCCCAGCCTGATCGATACCTAACTGCTCCCCTGCCAGCCCGATTGCCCCTAACTGCCCTCCCCTGCCAGCCTGATAGTCCCCAACTGCCCTCCCCTGCCAACTTGGTCACCTCTAACTGCCCTCCCCTGCAGGCCTGGTTGCCCCCAACTGCCCTGCCCTGCTGGCCTGATTGCCCACAACTGCCCTCCCCTGCCGGCCATCTTGTGGCTGTGGGCGCCACCATCTTTGAGGGCTGGGCAGTCAATTAGCATATTCCCTCCTTATTGGCTTTGGGCACCATCATCTTTGTGACTGTGTGAGGGTCAATTAGCATATTCTATTAGATAGGATATCAATATTAAAATTTTATTACCCCATATGGTCTTGATGTTTGTCATTTTATTATGAAAGTGGGGACAGGGCTACCTACTTTGATATGCATTATAAAACACCTAAGAATATGTCGCATGTTTAGAACTCTGAAAATGAAATCCAAATTTAGTTCCTCTTCAAGCACATTGAGGGCTTTATAAATAACTTTCAAAAGTCTATTTGGTCTTAAGCACAAAGTTCTTTCCTCAAGACTATGGTTGCTAAATGGTGTTTCATAAAATTCCAGTGTTATAAAATTCTGTTCAAAAATGGCATGTGTAATCAAATAAGTGTGAAAAATTATGAACTTAGGCATTGCCTGAATAACTGTAGATTGGAAGCTAGTGCCTGTCCAAAGCCAAGTAGAATATTATGAGTATATTAATAACTAGAGGCCCGATGCATGAAATTTGTGCAAAAGTAGGCCTTCGCAGCCGCAGCTTTGTCTGGAAGGTAGTCCGGAAGGTCATTCCGCTGTTCGGCCGTTCAGTCAATTTGCATATTATTTTTTTATTATTATAGATGATAAATGAGAGGGTGCATATATTTAATAAGAAGAAACCATTTTGCCTTTATAAATCTTAGAGTGTGCACTAATTTAAGTAATATATTCCCATGGCTAAAGATGTGAAGAATAGAGCAATAATATATGCAGATTAAATTTTTTTATTACATAGTTTATGAAGAAATGGGCCTAAAAGTAATGCTAAAAAGAGAGAAGCAATTTCATCCTCACACTACATATTAACTCAAAATATTATGTATTAGAAAAAATATACATTAATTATTTAATAAAGATAGCCAGCCACTTCTCCAAAGGTTATATTTATGCCGTCGTAACATGTAACAATTATAATCTATAAAATATCACTCATTTGAAGTAAGTTCTCAAGCAGAATATGACTTTTAATGGAGTAATGATGCTAGTAAATATGCTATTAAGTATAACAGGAGAAATGAGTTTGAGATACCTTTTAAATAATTAATATTAGGAAAACTGTGGAAATAAATACATGTGTTTTAGCTTTTCTCATATAATGGGCTTATTCTGGAAATGCTAAAATTCTTCTAATTTCCATGGACAACACTTTTCTCCATAATAAAAGTTACTCAGTCCCCCTTTCTCATTCTATTGAACATTATTTTTTGCCCTTACAAACAGCTGACTTGAACTAATTGAATAACTAAGGAACAGAATCAAGCAGTCTTAAGAAGATGACAGGGTTATTTTTACACAATAAAATACAAATAATGTAACTTAAAAATAAACTGGGTATTTTTTTTTTTTGGTATTGTAAAAAACATCTAACTCGATATTTTTTTAATTAAAAAAAAAACTAAAATAGCCCGGCTGGTGTGGCTCAGTGGTTGAGCGTCCACCTATGAACCAGGAGGTCACGGCACATGCCCAGGTGTTGGGCTTGATTCCCAGGAGAGGGTGTGCAGGAGGTAGCTGATCAATGATTCTCTCTCATCATTGATGTTTCTCTCTCTCTCTTCTGCTCCCTTCCTCTCTGAAATCAATAAAAATATGTTTTAAAGAAATATTAAAATAGGAAAAACTAAGAGCTTACTTATAGAGGATAAATGCTAATTTAGACACTCTTAGTGTTCTACTAGAATATCTGAATTGCATGGCAAATGATTTCTGCAGTTGTTTACTTTTTTAGTTCTGTTCAAAGTAAATGATAAATGCTTTGGTCAGGAGCAAAAGAGAATTTCCATAAAATGATGTTATTTCGGCACTATAGGGTGCTTCCTACCCTCAATAAATACATTAATATGTGCCTCCAATTCTTTTGTTAAATAACAAGCAAAATGCTGTACAATGAAATCCCTACTCTATGTATTTATGTGTAAAGGTCACAAGCCTAGGGTGGTAAAGCTACCAGCCTGTTACTGCAGGCATCATGCTGTTGCTTGCCCTTTATGTTTTTCTTTGTCAGTCTGGCTTTTGGCAACTGTTAGGTTCCCATGACTATCATTTGTAGTTTCCCCTTCCAGTAAAGCTGAAGGGCATTTCAGGGAACAGTCACTAGGTCCTGGCCAGAGTCAATGCCAAGATTCAACAGAGTCAAGTCATGGAGCAAGAACCAGGCCAGAGTCCAAGATGAGGCAATAAGCAGGCTCCAACAGACTCATCTTTTTAGCCTCTCTGGTACTTACTAGTAGAGTTCACAGGATAAATCCAGTCTGATGACCAAGATGAAGTCCAGAAAAAAACAAGTCTTTCTGTTGATTAGGATACTGTTTCAGAAACAGACCAAAAGCAGATTTCTGGAGCAATGGCAACACCATTCATGACACTCAAGAACAGGAGTACAGAGCAAAGATAAGAATGCCTGGCAACGTTGGCAGCATCATGATTGGCATAATTGTGTGATACACAGTGTACTTGTTTCACAGAGGCAGCCACCTCAGCATCTGAATGTGTGCCAATCTTGGCACATACTTCTCTCCACATACCTGTTTTCAATCGTATCAGGGAATTCCTCTTACAAACAACTGCAAAGAAAAGAAAAAAGGTAAAAATCAGTGTCAAATGAAAGTAGAGAAAGTTTTTATTAGTCATCACCGGCATATTTGAAACAAAATTATACTGAAAAATTGAAAAAGTATGTGGTTGTGTGTTTTTATTTTCAGATTTCTAGGAATTTCAGAGACTTCTCGGGAATATAAAAAGGAGATGGCTCTACAGGCAAAATAATGTATGATTTTTTTTAAAGTTTAATTCTCTAATGAAATAAAGTTACAGAATCATGGCACTTCAACCACCCTATATTATTCTGATGCCTTTTAATAAAATAAAGAGCACATCAGAACCACTTCCTTTAAATCATTAATGATTTCATTACAATAGACGGTCCTTTTCAGGAGCCAAAATATTCACGTAAAAACTTTTCTCACCCTAATAGACAATCTGGCAATATTATGTTTGTTAACTTCAGGACTAATAACCTTCAGTAGGATTGTTGGTCAGAATCCTACTATGTTTTCAACTTGATTCTCTATTTCCACTTTTGTGAAAGAAGCCCAATGATATAGGAAAACCTAATTTGCACAACTTAGCTTTATTTGAATTACTGGCCTTAGACCGTTGGCTTTGGCAAACTGCAGCTTATATATTATACATAGCCTTATAAATAAATAGATGGTCTGTACTCATAATCTGTCTATAAAGGTGTTCAATTCACAATGGAGCATTTAGTAAAGGGTAAAGAAGGTCATAGTAATGGAAGTAGATTTGACCTTGGATAATAAACACATGCAGCAATACACAGAAGATGTATTATAGAATTGTACACTTAAAACCTACATAATTTTATTATAACCCCCAATAATTTTAATAAAACATAATTTTATTATTACCCCCAATAATTTTAATTTTAATAATTTTTAAATGGAAAATTTCTTGTTTTTCCCATCAACTCTCTCCTATAAAATACTATTAGTAGGTAGTAATAATAACTGATAATATTCCCTCATGTTACAGAGATGTTGAGGTTGTCAGATAATGACTTTCAGGAGGTGATGCATATAAAACCCCTATATCCATTTCTCTTTCCCCTTTTCGAACTCCAAAAACCTAAGTCCTTGTGAGAATCCTTAGGACACCAAGAGAATGCCAAAAAGTTACATGTTCAAATTTAGATTTCATAGACCGCAACTCAATATCTGAGTGCGTAGCTAAAGAGACAATAAGTATTATTTCTTCAAGGCAAAGGCTAGTAAAGCAAGAGGCCGAATAAAACATGAACTAATTTCAAATAGCTTATAGACTAAAAAAGTTGAATGGAATACTCACTCTTAAATGAAGTTCTATCTAGACCAAATATGCATAATAATTTTGATCACAAATACTAAAGTAAAATTAGGTTTCTAAGCATTTAAAATATTTTTTTAATTAATGATAGGTCCATAGATAATGAACTTAGGTACCTTACTGAGATAGAGTCACAAATCTATGTTATTGATAAAAATATTTAAAACACAATTAAAATTTGCATGTCTCCTCCATGCAGCATTTTTTTTCTTAAATTAACACGTTATTTAAAAATTAAAGATAAAAAAGAAAATAATTTTTAGATGAGCTTTAGATCGTAAATCCTCCAGTGGCAGGCCATTACCTTGTGTAATTAATATTCTCCATGCAGCAGGTTACTCTCCAGAGATGCTAATATTGCCCACAGGGATGGACTTACATTTTCTTATACTCCTTGAGGCTTCTTCTAAACATTCACCTTTTCCTATCTACTCATTATCTCCTATACTGTCATATCTAATAGTGATATGCAAATATTTCTGCAGTACCTGCTGCTTTTTAAATTCAGAAAAAGAAACTCATATTAACTTGCATTGATTCTTTGTTTTCCTTCTGACAGAGGCCATCCCTTTAGGAAAATGCATTCAAGCACTTAACTGCTACATTGAAGATACCATGCAATAAGTAACTGGGAACTATATGAATAATAGAAACAGGAGGAAACCAAGATGGCAGCATAGGGAAATGCCAGTACTCACCGCCTCTCACAATCACATTAAAATGACAACTAAAATACAGAACCATAATTCAGAACTGCCTGAAAGCTGGCTTAATGGAAGTCCTACAACTATATAAATTAATATATTTTTATTTACTTCAGAGAGGAAGGGAGAGGGAGAGAGAGAGAGAAACATCAATGATGAGAGAGAATCATTGATTGGCTGCCTCCTGCATCCCCCACACTGGGGATCAAGCCTGAAACTGGGTATGCGCCCTGACTGGGAATCAAACTATGACTTCCTGCTTCATAGGTCAATGCTCAACCACGGAGACATGCCAGCCAGGCAATTAGGAGGGATATCTAGGCTGCAGAGGTCTCCCATTAGGAGCAAGGAGAGCCAGCCCCACACCAGATCCCTCAACACAGGGGCAGTGGCTTCGGGTGATCCAGGGACATACTGGAGGAACTGGATTACCTGGCACTGGGCAAGAACTCAGCAGATAGCTTTCTCCCAGACAAAAGTGCTGGCAAAGGTCACTGTTCCTAGGCTGAGACCCCCCACTTCACAGATGCAGGCGCCATGTCTGAGTTTCCATCAGCTTGGCTCACACTGTTTGCTCCATCCTGGTGATTTCCTGAGATTCCAGCCTCATCCAATTTGCATCCCCACCAAAGCTGTTTGCAGCAGCTTTTCCATATGAATGGCCTGTCCTGACTCAGGCTTCAGACTTTCCTAAAATCTCTCAAATAAGCAGCAGCTGGTGTCCGCATGCCCCATACCTATCAGTAAGAGGCCCCAAGCTTAGCACTAGCAGCAGCCTGCCTTGCTTCACACCTTGGCCTCTCCTGGGCACATCTAAGCCCAACAAAAGTAGCAGACATCTGTAGATCACTCTGTAGCTCCTGCCAGATGGCCCCAGGCAAGGCACAGGCAGTGGATCACTTTGCACCTCCTGGTTATCAGCAAAAATTATTAGTGTATGTTCAGTATGCATGCACTTTATGAAGGTAGAGACAACATGGGGGGGGGGGGGGATATATTCTCTGTCCTCAGCAGAAAATAATCAATTTTGTCCAATGAGTAAATACTCCAGAATAGTGATTTTCCATGTAGACAATATTTTAGTATCACGGATTATAGATAAAACAAAAATCTTTTCTTTAAGCAGTTTACCAATGAACTCAAATGTCTCAAGGTGAAGAATCACTGCCCTAGATGAATACTTAAAAAAAAACACACTCATAGGCAAATGGTTATAATAGTATATGAATTATACACAGTGATATGATTCTTATACTTCAGCAGACTTTAGTATTTATCTTTGTGTTTGCTTTTAGTTTTGAGTTTTGTGGCACTTACAATGGCCATCTGCTCCTTTCACTTTAAATACTATCTACCTTTCAGCTCCAAAACATACCCACTTCTTTCATTAAAACCTTGTTCAATTCTTCCATCACATACTAAAGTCTCCCTCTTCTGAAATCCTAGAGCTGGGGTCAGCAAATATTATCCTCCTAAATGCCAGATAGTAAATACTTTAGGCTTTGCAGGCTTAGTTACAACTACTCAACTCTGCGCTGTGCAAGAAAGCAGCCACAGAATATATTGAAACAAACCGGTGGCTGTATTCCAGGAAAGCTTTATTTGGAAAAGCAGGCAGCTGACTGAATATGGCCCAAGAGCTATAGTTTGTCAGCCTCTATTGTAGAAGATCACTGCTCTCTGCCATTTATTTTGACATTTAATCCTATTCTGGGTTGTACCTTTAAACAGTGCATCTCTGAAGTTACAGTCTCCTCAAGGGGTCAGGAAAGATGTCATATATATATATATATTCAGGTCTCTATGCAGAGTACTGCATAACAGCAATGCTTAATTATTTACTGATTTAAATTGATTTAAGACATGAGAGTAAGATCTAGTTGCCATTCGCATCTTACCTGCATTGAAGCATCTACTACATTGACTCTCGGGTTTCTCTAACAGACAGCCTCAACTTGCTGAGTCTTTATTCTCCCTTTAATGAATATCATCAATTATTTTTCCATTTGAGACCATATTGTATTTCCCCCCTTATTATTATTATTACCTACCACGGATATGGCCATGTAGATGCCTGTAGCGACATAATCCATCCCCTGTAGCTGCCTCTCGCTATAGTAGCTGCGTTTCACAGCTAGCTGCCTGTCATGGTAGTGGGTGCCTTTCGCAATAGCGTCATCCTCTCGCGATAGAGGCTGCCTCTCAGGAGAGTAGCTTGCCTGTGTCGACAGTGTCTGTCTCTCGCGATAGTGCCTGGCTGGGTTGCTGTCTATCAGGATAATAGCTGCCACTTGAGACAGTGCCCAGCTGAGAAGCTGCTTCTGGTGCTAATAGCTGCCTGTCCCGATATTGTCGGCCCCGTAGCTGCAGGTCTGGATTTATCATTCCTTCAGGCCCTACTGGCTTCTCCAGCTTCTCTGGGTTTACAAAGAGTCACAAGGTCATTCCTTTCTCTAAGCTTCCCAGTTTGGTTCCAGATGCATCCTCTAAGCAATAAGGAAGCCTCATCATTCCGCTGACTCTACGTTTTAACAGATCGAAACTCATTATAGTTGACTAGTCTTTTTTTTTTTTTAACATTTCTCAAGCTTCTTCCCCCTGGAATCTCTTAAAACCCACAGCATCAGTGAGTATTTTAAAATACTAATATTAAAAATATACATTGTGGTTAATCCAGATCCCCTTACTGATGAGATGTGCAACCTTGGGTAAAATATTTAAACCGCTGTGCCCTAATTCTCTCATCTGTAAAATGAGGGTCAAAAGGTTTTGAAGGTTAAATTAGTTAAAACATGTAAAATAAACATGTAAAAGGATGCTTCGCATATTGAAATGTTCAATAAAGGCAAGCTAATTTTACTCAAATGTTATCTCTACAGCTTAACCTAAAAGCCACTTCTTTGGTCCAGTGTCTCTAAACTCATTTATTATATGCATACAAATACACACGGCATGTTTGTCATTTTACCTCCTATGCTATTCATCTACAAAGATAAATACTTTTAGTGAGTAGCTAATTCTTAATTGTAACCAAAATTTAAAGTGGGTTTCCTTTCTTTCCTTCCTTTCAGTAGTCTATTCATTTATTCATTTGTTATGCTGAGGGCCAGAGATAAATGTTCAGCCATGAGATAACAGTGGGTCCTTCCATAGATGGATCTCCTGATACACTTCTATTTCTCACCTCTAACTTCATCAGAAAAGAGGTGGTATTGATGGCTAATTTGAGTTACGAACAAGAGTTCAAACATTTACATTAATAAATAATCCTTTTTATCCTTGAACTATTCTGTACACTTCTTGACTTTCCTAAACTTGAATGTCTCCAAAAACTTAGTTGCCTTAAAAAAAAAAAAAAAAAAAAAAAAAAAAAAAGAGCTTAACCAGGTCATGCAAAGAACATTTAGAAAAATAGAATGTTAGATTAATAGAGAAAACATAAACATGTGATCTATCACCACATATGTACAGGCTGTCAATCAACCCAAAAAGGGATTTATTTTGTGTGGCCCAGAAAGCTGAGTAAGGGCCCTACATAGAAGCAATAGAATTGAGTAACAATTATAACTGGGTTAAACAGACTGCCTCATTGTACAAACTTAAAGTAAATAATAGATTATTGTTCATTGAAGATGCTGAAGAAACAACATATAAAAGTAAAAACAGATATCCTCTAAGTTCCTTGAAATGCCATAATCCACCAAAATGCTAAATGATATGTAAAGGTGAATTCGTTATTGTTAACATCCCGAAATTTGTAGTATTTGAAGAAACTGAAGGCTTATACAGTTGCAACTGTGATAAAATGGCTAAAACAAATAAGAGAGGTTACAAATGCAATGTTACTGAAATTTTAGAAAAGAATCTTCATCCCATTCAGGGGCTTCAGGTGAAATTTGAAGGTGGTGTTTAAGCTCAGGTTGAAGATGAGATTAAAGTGAAATATGGAAATAGCAAGAAGTTAGAGCATTTTAAGATGAAAGAACAGCATGACCAAAGGTATAGTGGCATGAAGGTGAATGAGGCACAGGGAACACTTCAGTTTGACTTTACGACGGCAGTGGGAGATGAGCCTGAAAAAGCTTTCTGGAGTAACAAGGACTGAAATGTTGCTCCTCAGACCTAGGTAATGGGAGTCACCAAAGTGTTATTTACAAGTAGGTAAGAGAGAAGTACTTCAGTTGGAGTATCTGGTGGCACGGAAGAATTAACTTGTACAGTGAGAGACTAGAAATGAGAAGATCTGCTACGAGACTACAACATGACTCTGGGAAATATGTCAAAAGTGGCGGACTCTGTGGCAGCATCAGAAAAGAGGACACTTTGGATATGCAAACGTCAAATCTTAGCAACCGACTGAGTCACAAGGCCAGGGGAGAGAGGGTCTCAAAAGCTTCCAGACTAGAATACTGTAAAATAATAAGACCAATAAAAGCAGAGGGAGCAGCAGAAAGAAGGAAGACACAGAAAGTTCAGAAGAACCCACAAGGTGTCGGTGGTGTTAGCCACAGTAAGGGGAGCGGTCCAGCAAGGCATTTGGGAAGGTCAGCCTGGAGACTACGAGAAGGTCAGGGCTGAAGATAATGACATGGGAGTTACTCCTACTGAGGTGAAAGCCAAGGCGAAGAGAAGATGAGCTTTGCCAATAGATAGACTATACACAGAAGCAAAACTCAAAACATAAACTGAGGAACACTTACTTCCATGAGTAGGAGGTAAAAGGAGAGCCAAACCAGCTGCCAATGAGCAGTCAGAGAAGTAAGAGGAGAACACAGAGGGCACGGAAGCCAATAGGGGGCTGAGGAGCAGCAGGTGCCAATATTGCCAAAAGCTGTGGAGAGTTTAAAGCAAATAAAGATTGCCTTGGCTGGTGTGCTCAGTGGTTAGAGTGTCAGCCCACGCTCCAGAAGGGTCATGCATTCGATTCCCAGTCAAGGGCACATACCTGGGTTGCAGGTTCAATCCTTGGCCCCCGTAGGGGTGCAGGCAGGAGGCAACCAATCGATGTGTCTCTCTCACATTAATATCTTTCTCCCCCTCACCCCTTTACCTTTATCCCTCCCTCCCTCCCTTCCACTGTCTCTGAAGAAATTAATGGAAAACATGGCCTCAGGTGAGAATTAACAAAAACTAAAAAAATAAAGCAAATGAAAATTTGGAGCCTAGGAGATCCATGATAATCTGATTATTAAATGTTAATAATTACATAAATCTTATGAGAAAAATCTTATTGCTTCAAATCAAAGTAGTTTCACAAGAGATTATTATCTTTTAATATATTTTTATTGATTTAAGAGAGGAAGGGAGAGGGAGAGAGAGAGAGAATAATTGATCTGCTGCCCCCTGCATGCCCCGCACTGGGAATGGAGCCTGCAACCCAGCATGTGCCCTGATCAGGATCGAACCATGACCTCTTGGTTCATAGGTTGATGCACAACCATTGAGACATACCAGCCAGGTGAGATTATTATTATTATTATTGTTATCTTCTGAAGAAAAAGCAAAACAATTTCTTATTTGAAGATACTCTGATCTCAAGGATAATTTCCTTAAACATTCTCAATTTTTATCCTATTGGACAATAGTTAGTACTAGTCTTCCAAGGGATATATTTAAATGTGGAGGCAATTTAGGTAATTACAATGACTTGAGGGGAAGCTGGGGGCATAAGGAGGACAGAGGCCATAGACACTAAATGTCATCTAATGAAAGTCATGCATTCCCACACAAGGGACAGTTGTCTGCCCAAAACACCAATAGTGTCACCTGTTGAGAACACTGTCACACACTGCTGTTTATCACTAGATGTATCTTTGGCATATTTGAGAAGAACTGATAGAACGTCAGATGCTGAAATTTTGGAGCAGTGATTTTAAAATAAGGTAAACATCATTAATATAGTTCATCCCTTAGAAGCGTTTCAAGCAAACGTATGTCTTTTAGTTTTACTGTTTATTCCTATCTAATCTAGTTCCAAAGGAAATAGGTCTTCAAGAAAATTACATAGTGGAGCAAATAAATAAATAAATAAATAAATAATATTCCACATATTAACTCTAATCAGAATCTGAGTAGGGGTATAGATGATTAAGATACATTTCATTGTGTTATTAGGTGAGGAAACAGCCAATGTTTGCAATAAAATATTTTCTTAAAAATACCAATATTTTATACAGATCTTTAAACAATTGCATTCTCTTGCATTCACCACTTATATTAAATATTTTCAATTAAAAATTGCTGTTTTAATGCCTAGTATTACCGAGAATACATCAGCAGTTCAGATCATTGAAGCACATAGACATTTTTATGGGACTATTCTAACTGCTCAAAACTTTTAATGCAAATATCTTTACACTAGCATCTTGTAGCTGTCATTCAAATGACCTGTAAGAGTTTATGAATAACACTGATATTTATGAATATGTCTGGAGCAACCAAGCACCCATTCGTCCACTCCAAGGTGAACTAGTTTTATTATAGTCAAGTTCAATTTGTTTAACTTGTGGTTAATTTTTTCCAGTGTTCTTGATTATTACAGTTTATACTTAAACACACATAACCTCTCTTATTTACTAACTGCTAAATATGTGTGGTAAAGGTTACATCTTCCTCTAGAGCAGGGGTGGGCAAACTTTTTGACTCGAGGGCCACAATGGGTTCTTAAACCGGGACCGGAGGGCCGAAACAAAAGCATGGATGGAGTGTTTGTGTGAACTAATATAAATTCAAAGTAAACATCATTACATAAAAGGGTACGGTCTTTTTTTTTTTTTAGTTTTATTCATTTCAAACGGGCCGGATCCGGCCCGCGGGCCGTAGTTTGCCCACGGCTGGTCTAGACAATGGTCCATAGGAAGCTATTCTCTCATATTATGATTGTAAGCAGCAAAAGCAGCAAGTAGACTAGGCACTGCGGTTCACCAGGTAAGGGACCAATTGGGAAAATAAAGCTTTCTCTATATGTATGTTTCTCTAGAAGTTTAAAAAAAAGTTCTATTACTTACTAAGACTTAGTATGCGGTTGTTTCCTAACACATTTCCTAATATCTTTGATCCAAACTGCTGAGAAAGTCTGTGATAAGCCAGGATGACCTCTCAGACAATGAAAGTCCATTTAGTGGTTTATTATACAGTCCAACACTGTAACCCCATCTAATGGGAAACTTACATTTCAAAAGGCTCCCAAAAATCTGTTTAAAAGAATAAGCCAGTGCCGAAACCGGTTTGGCTCAGTGGATAGAGCGTCGGCCTGCGGACTGAGGGGTCCCAGGTTCGATTCCGGTCAAGGGCATGTACCTGGGTTGCGGGCACATCCCCAGTAGGAGGTGTGCAGGAGGCAGCTGATCGATGTTTCTCTCTCATCAATGTTTCTAACTCTCTATCTCTCTCCCTTCCTCTCTGTAAAAAAATCAAT